CATCTTGCCTGCCTTCCCTCCCAGCGCTGTTACTGATCTCCATCTGCCCAGGCTGTGAGAGTGCTCTTCCTATTCCACTCATCACCCACAGTGCCCTGTCCAGGTTCTCCTCTCTGCTGACACCMTCAGCTGCCACTCCTGCTCTGTGCACAGCAGAACCCTCCATCAGAGCATTGCTATGGTTACAGGCTTCCTGTGGGCACTGGGACCAACGGGAGCCGTAAATGAAGGTACCKCTGCAGTATCTGCATAAAGACTTCCTACCTGCGGTGGAACAGCCACGCTCTCCAAAATAACTCCCACGAGTTTCTGTCACTGCCTCTGCAAATCTGCACGGATGGGACGTTGGGACTCAATTTACACTTTCTGGGCTTGGAGTCACAGTGAGAACGCTTTCCACGGAGGAGGAGGGAAAATTTATCTTAGAAGATGACAGTAGTCATCTCCCTTAGATGTGAAATAATAAGAAGGAAGATCAGTTTTTACCCTCTGCCCACCTTTGCATGCCCTGCTCTGCAGAGAGGCTCAGAGTGCTTGAACCAGCAGCGTGGTAAGGTACTTGTTAGCCCCCAAAGCCTGAGTGCTGGGGAAGAGACTCATCTATCATACCCATGCTCCATCACTTCCATCACTGYGGGACTAAATGATGCGCTCAAAAACTGCCACTAAATGGAGGGAAAATGTGACCAGCCTAACTGCTATCAGCAAGTTAAATGCTTAAAATAATGTCACTGGAGGATCTCAGAGAAAGGACAGGAGGTAAAGTAGGCTATTTTCCTYGTCTGTGTTATTTTTCTCCCCCAAACAGAGGAGGTGCATTGTGAAATTAACCTCTACTCCTTTGATTTCCTCCCCTCTGCTCTTGTGCACACACACACTGTCTCTCTCTCTCTCTTTTAAGGCTTATATATTATTATTTGATGCAGGAGGATTTTTCATTAGAAGATATGAATAAGACTTTTATATAAATCAGTCCAGAGAGTCTTTTGACAGGATTTTTAAATWGTGCCCCTTGTCTCCCCGATGCAGCCACACGCTATCTTGTTCCCATGCTGACCTCTCTGTCTTTCCTCATTAAAGAACTGGTCCAGGCTGCCGAGCCCTCTCTCATTTTGGAGATTTTCACTGCTTTGTCTCACGTACAGTCACTCCTGCTGCTGACCGACAGCTCCTCATCCCCAGTAATTTCTGCACTGCATTAATTTCTCATTAATCTGCATCATGATTTATGAGTCTTAAATGATGGAAGACTTCTAGAGGAGTGATTCTCATTTGGCCTGCTGGCTTTTCTCCCTTGCTCCTTCACCCTCCTTCTTCAAAAGTGAATAGACCTCTTCTGCACAAGCTGTCTGCAGAGCATTGTCTCTGAGGACGGTGCAAGTGGGCAGAAATGGGTTAAGAGAGGTGGTTTCTGGCTGCTTTCCTCATAAATGATTTGAACAAATAAATGCTAGGGAGAAAASGGACTCACTTTGCTTTTCTAAAGAACTTTTGTAGCTGCTCTCCAAATCTGACGGTGTGCGGTGGCTTTGTCAGCCCTGGGCAGTGCTGCCAAAATCTTTTTGGAGTTTGGAGAGGTTTCAGTAAGGAAATTTTCATCCACCCTGCAGGGATCAATCACAATAGCAAGAAGGATGGTGGCTCCTGGCTGGGCAGGGAGCTGGACCTTCAGGCCAGGGGTGGATGAACCACTTGTTGTTGGTGTAAGGCTGCATTAGTCTGACTCAGGGCAGTCTGGAAAGGGAAGATCTCTGCACTCCCTGCCCTGATTTCATGGGACTAAGCTATAGCCCTGCACCAAAATTATCCTTCCTTCCATTTTCAGGGKTATGTGTAAAAGAGAATGGAAAATTACTCAGCTTTAGTTACCCACCAGCACTTTTTGTGCTTCTCCAGAACTCCTGAATTCATAGAATTTGAGGTTATAAATAGTGATGGGATTTCCTCTTCTCTTCTGGYTATCACTACATGGCTCTGGTCCTCGGGAGAGTCAGAAAACACAAAAAGGTGGGAAATGTTTTGTTTGGAAGACAAGAGAAGAAAATGCTGAATGCACCAGGCAGGGCTGAATAAAAGCAGCACAGAGTTACAGCAGCAGTGGGAAASTGAATAGCAGAGTCAGGAGAGAGGAAAGAAGCAATGGGTAGAGGTTGATTTGAAAATCCTTTGTGCTCTGCCCTGACTCCACTGGTCCACTGCTCAGTAAAGCCAATGGAAATATTGCTGTTGCCTTCCTGGCAGTGCTTTCAAATTTCAGATAATTAATCCACGCTAAATTTCTGATAGAAATACTCCTCATGGCACAATAGCTCATGAATTATGAGCATGAGTATCCTACCAGGAAAAAAAGAGGGAAAACCACCTGAACTTTACCCTTGCAGGAAGAGATTTKATTTCAGGTGAGTTTAGGAAAGGAGGATTTTCCTGATTCTTTATTTTCCTTTATTTTCTTCGCAAATCATGCTATTCACAAGCCAATTCAGACCTTCTCACATACAGTGTGTGAAGCTGGTTTCAGCTCTCAGGCTGCCAAGCTGCCAGAGAGATGGATTAAAAAAGCAGCGGTGACCAGGACTAGCAATAAAACTCAGTTGCTACTGCATGAATATGTAGATGAATATGTAATTACTCCAACAGCAACAGGGAAAAGCTGTTTCTTTGGGGGGCTGGAAAGAGAAGGGGAAAATTGCTCAGCTTTTTAGCCAACATTTTAAACTGATATTTAGGAGAGCAGTTCCTGTGTAGCTTGGAAAAGAGGAGAGYGAGAGAGAAAATCTTCATGTAAAAATCTTTCTGATTCTACTTTGTTAATACTTTAAATCTTTTGATTTGGGTAGCGTGATTCAGAAGGGAAAATCAGAAATTGTTTCTATGTTAATAGAGCTTTTACAGAGAGCACAAAAGCTTGGGGTGGGAAGAGTGTAAAAATATTTTAATAGGTAACCTTTTATTTGGCAAAATATGTATTACTTCCTATTATGATAAACAGTTTGCATATTTGAGATGAAAATGTTTATACATATACATTACAATTACATATTCATTTGACTTTATATTACATACACAACTCAATTTGAATAAATGTCTGAAGCCAAAGGAATAAATTAGTATTGGTRCTGAGTACTTTCTTTGCCCTTCTCCATTGTGTTTGCAAGATTTGCATTTTATAGTTGCACATTAACAAATATGCATATTTCATTATGGTTTTGGATTAAAAGGTTATCATCTCTGTTACCCATTAGTAATAAACAAACACAGACTTTCCATGTGAATTTATCCCTGGCTCAGCTGTTTGCTGATTAGGTTGTTGTCTCTGGGTTTCCTTGTTTTATCCTTGTGGAGAATCCCTAAAGYGGTTTCTAAAGTGCTTATTGTCCTCTGGGGAGCAGTGAGTGAGAAAGCGAGGATCGAGAACACGACCCTGAGGCATCCAAAGCTGGTGAAAAGATGGGAAGGTGGGGCCAGGTCCAATCTGCAGCCAGGTTGGGAGCTTTGTTKGGGCAGGTGGACCCCAAAGCCCAGGCCCTGTGGCAGAAARAGATWCYTTGGRAAACCTGTTTGAAGGYTGGGYRRGGTGAGATGGGAGAAARYTGGTGATGAGCMGGGAGMAATGTCATCASCYCAGTGTCCAAAAACATTCCAGTTTMAAATYAGGATGCTYCTCCCGTGYCAGRGTGATCCAAACTCYTCAWTCTGCACMCAGGGAGAGSTGGGATCTGCACAACTCAGAACCTGGCACCAGCTGGGAGAGGGGWATSAGGCAYCACAGYTTTCCTGGTACCCTCTGGGTGAGCCCCAGTGCAGCTGTGCATAGGGCACATTGCAGGAACAAACTCAACCCAGCAGCTTACAGTCACAGCAGCTCTTATTCCTTGACATCATCTAAATTCAACCTCTTCTGCCAAAAAATCCCTCCTTGATCTGTTCTGTATCTGCATTCGTAGGAGGCAAGGAAGGGATCAGGGCTGAAGCATCCCCAATTGCCAGAGCTGGGGCCTGGGCAGTTTCTACCTTCCTGAGTGAACAGCGCAGATTCTGGAGGAGATATTTTAGAAAAGCTGAATTTTGAGGAGAGCCAGCATCCAAAAAATAACAAGGACCTGTTATGTGCTCAGGAAGCACTTAGAGGARGCTGCCCTGTGAAATCAGCACGGGCAGAGGGCTGTCACTCCCAGAAGGGAGGTGTCCTAAAGCCAGGTTTTATTTACTGAGCTGATGCTGGGGCTGGACCAGCGTCCTCTGGTAATAGAGCTGTGCGTGCCATAGGATTATAGTCTTTGGCTCTAACTGCTCACCTTCTGCAAATAAGCTCCATGTGCAAAAGCCAATGGAATTTTAATRGATTTTTATTTTTACTTTATTGAATTTTCCTTTCCTTGTCTTTTTAATACAGCTACGCTAAAGTCAGTGGGTGTAAATGCCTCAAAAGAAGCTATTTCGATTTATTTTTCCTCTTCTTCAGGGGAAAGGAAAATCAAAAGATTCAGTGCCTCTTTGGCAGAAGAAATAAAAATAGAGAATCCCAGTGGGGGTATCTGCACAGCTCCTAGGATGCTACTTTGGGCTCATCTGATGTGCCAAAAGTTGTCAATTTGCTGCTGCTGTTGCCCTCTGTTTACTCCCTAACCCTGTCTGCATGTCTTTCCTACCCCAGACCATCTTTCCAGATGACATCAGGAGTGTTACTGCCCAAAGCTGTTCCCTGCTTAGGCC